CGAAGTTGACTCTGCGAGTGCCAAGAATAGCTCCAGCACCGAATATCTGTTCGCCTTCAATTCTGTACACAATTCAGTATACCGATGCCAAGCGTGAAACGCAGCATGTTCTTCTCTGAAAAAATGAAACAATCAATGCAGTTTTCTACCACACTTGGTTGCTCTTCCAGCCACTGAGATAGCCTCAAAAGCAGTACCATTATATGGGCAGTACAAATGCATCACCTGATATTTGCGACGTACAGGATTGTCGCAGGCCTTGTCCGCCCAAGCCTGCCTGCGGTATTCCGGACTCGACTTCATGCAGGAGCGGTTACATCCATGGCCTTCAGCCCCGACGGGTCGATACTGGCGACCGCCGCAGGGGACCACAGGGTATGCTTCATCAGCACCTCAGGTACTACAAAAACCACAAGTGGGGAGCAAATGCGCTTGCCGACAATCGGTACCGATAACAGTACGCCCGCCATTGCCTTGCAAAGTTCAAGGCATTCTTTCGGATGAACGGAATGTCACGAAGAATTTATGTGCTAAATATTTTGGTATTTAATCATGTGTTAGGATTTTGGAATACTGCAATAGCTGTGTTGTACTTGTACTTAGCGTACAAGTGCTGTGCCCATTATGTCAGAAATAGTGAGTACTGTTTCAACATGTTTTGCTGCATTTCTGGCATTTGACAACAATAGCAGTGCTGTTTGTCAACTGACAGAGAATGAAGAATAACGAGTGCTCCCCCTGTTCCGGCGGTCCCCCTGTAATTGGGGAACTAAGAGTCATCATGCGTACACAACAGATGAGCGCGGACAAATATCCATGCTTGTGGAAACTAAGCTTGGCGCCTTACTGCAATTCTCATTTCAGAACATGGCGCACAACCTAGATCAGAAATTTTCCGTGTTTGCTGCGTCGCTGTGTCTATCTTATGCAGGATTCAGCATATTACATATTATAGTTGCTGATGCTAAATGACCGCAAAGGCTATTTTGAGCAGAAATATCCAATGGGGAACGATTGCGCACGACCCAAGCACGAAGTTCCGCGCCCCAAGCCGACCTTTCTTGAGGTAAATCCCACTTTTTGGAAGCTGTGACTGGAGCAATGCTTCACAAGCGCAATCTATAAACTGCTTGGCTTTACAGTTTTGTGACTGCCGCTTCTGCAGGGCCAAAACCTGAGACAATGGGCTACACCGAAGCCCCAGACCTTGTCCTGAGTCTTTCCTGGGCTGAAAGCACACAGCGAAATTATCTGCGTCTCATAGCGAGCTTGGAGTGCGGGGCCATCAGCTCGATGGAACCGCCAAAAGTCTCTTCTGGACCCGGAAATTTGAAATGCTATTCCCTGCGAGACGTGTCTTGTCAGTCGATGAGGATTGAGCTCCCGCTTCTGGCCACCGCCGCGGCCTCCACAGGGAAGACGGCTTCCCTTTTTGGCTTGTGTGTTGATAAAACTATCAGAAGGTGAGTCGTGTCCACGCACGCAACGACCAGCAATTGGCGGATTGATACGAAAATGGGTGGTCGCAAAACGGATTTTCTGATAATTGAATTGTTGGATGAATTGATGGAAGCTTGTTTTGTCCATTACTTCATTGATAGGAACAGTAAGAAAAACTGGATCTTTTGGCGTGGTATGCAAAATTGTATGAATCGAAAATAAACGTGGCTCATTTTGTTTATATGAGCTTGCAGTACTTGGTCTTTTGGAGATGGCAGCAGCTGCCGCAGTTCACCTGCGGCAATTATCTGGAATTAATAAAGCTGTCTGACCGTTAGAATCCGGATGTCTGTTATCGCACAACTCGATTGCTAATTGTCATGAGACACTGAGCAATCCCAATGGCACACTCCAGGTATGAATTGCCTTGGGATAATTCCAGTTGGACGGGCATCAAAGGCCGAATGCACAGGAGCGCAGCCAAGCGAGAGGCTCACGGAAGTCCCCATGGAGGCGTTGCTGTTTGTGAGCAACGCGAATGCATTGCATCATGCTCCGGCGATGGCACCATTGTGGTGAGGCGATTCGACATGACCGGTGCGCATTCGAAACATGTTCTGTGAGGTCTCTTCAGAATCTTGGGGCACTGTCGAAAGATTGTTGTTTTATATGGTTTGGATTCGTGACCTAAGCCCGTCAAATTAATGAACATTGTGGATCCAATGGTCGCGACCAGCTGTCGCAAGTGCGTGGAATCCAACAAACTAGACTGAGCTGCAGAAGCAAACTTTCTTCACCCATGCGCCCTTTCAGGCAAAGCGGCAATCGGAGCAACACGTCAAGCAGATTCGAGTGTCCACCATGTTCCAGCAATCGCAAATGCAAATGTGCCCAGTACATTTTGTCAATGGGCATCCACGGTGTGCATTCCGCACCAGTTATCCTTTGCCTCCTTTCATGTTCTGTTTTATCCTTTTTTTCACCTTTTTCTTCGTTGCTTTTTCTCTTTTGTATTCCCTTTCTGTGTTCCTTGATGCTGGGTTTTGGGGTTCTGCCAATTGTTACGAGGCCATTTTGTACTGCCAGCAAAGGGATGCAGCTTGACTATCTCAGTTCAGCAAAGGCACATGACACGACCAGTGAGTGGATTTTCGCGTTGCCTCTAAGTATGTACATTCATTCCTTCATTTGTCTTCCTTTCCTTCAATTTCCTTCCATTTAAAACTGGAAGGGAACAAAAAACAATCTGTCCAATCCATGGCGGTGGGCCGCAGGGGACGCCAAAACCCGCCCACACGACATGTTGGCGGGCGGCGCACTGTCCCTCTGCTTCGACGCCGCGGGGGCGCACCTCGTTTCGGGAGGCGCCGACGGCACGGTGGCCGTGCACCGCGTCGCCGGCGCCAAGCCCGCGTCCCCCCAAACCTCTGTCAGCGTCGATTCTTGCGCCGATGATGCGAATCAAGGGCAGAGTGCGATCGACGTGGACGCTCCCGACGATCCGGAGGAGCGCTTGGCGACGGAGGCGGGCCAGGATGAGCCGGCGGGGGTCACGGGCCTCGCGGCGGGCGAGGAGGAAGGGGCTGATGCCGAAGACCCGCTGAGGGGAAGGATCGAGGCGCTGAGGCAGAACTTCGCGCGGGCGATCCTGGCCAACGAGAGGGCGCCGGAGGCGGACCGCCTGCCGGCGTCGGAGTTCGTGATCGACCTGGAGCTGAAGGCGGAGCTGGAGGCCGAGGGGGAGAAGCGGGTGCGGGAGATAAGGGAAAGGGGAGAGAGGGACAACGTGTGCCTCGACATAGTCTGGTGCGCTCCCCACCCACACACCAACCCAGCCAGGAAACAACGAATGCATGCACAGGTGCTTGTGCACGCAAGAGCGTATCTTGTGCTTGTCATTGTGGCTGTGAGATGACCATGTCTCGTGCGTCTGCTGGTCCCAAAGAATCAAAGAATCAGAAGGGGTTGTGATGCCAGCTGACGATAAGCGCGAAAGAATGCAGAAAGCAAATGAAACCAAGGCGGGCGAAGCAAACGAGCAGTGTTTTGTTTGTAGCCAAACTGCAAAGGTTCTGTGCGCCCAAGAGCCTTTAACGGGCCAGGGTGGCGTGTCCTTGCCGGTGGATGCTGCTGATGGCCGCTGGTGTGTTGGATCAATGTGGTGAATAACGGAATAGAATTAGTCAGCTACTTGGCTATGGCTGTTCCATGTGTGCTGACTTGGGGTTTTTAAGTTTCATGTCAAAGAAAGCGCTCATCTCATCCCTGCTTGACGACTAAAAGCAGGCGGCAGGAAAATAAGGTCCTAATGTGCACATGAATTTGCAGTTAACACCCGCTGGAGCATTCCGAATTAATGCTACGTCCAGCAGTTTCCCTGCCATTTGCACGAGCGTGTAAGTGACTCCCACCAAGCCAATTGACCTAGGTACTTGAAGGCAAGCCACGCTACTTCCAACCTGTGCTGGGCCTGCCATCGAGTTTGTTGCCATTGGTGTCCAACGACCCCAGTCGTACCCAACATCCAAATGCACAACAGAATCGGCTTCTTGCTGTCTTTTTTTAAGTTGCACAGTTCTACTGTGCTCACAATCGGCTGCTTGGTGCAAGGGCTGAGTTTCTCATGGTTATTCTGAAGATTCAATCCATAAAATTGCAAGAGTAACAGTCTTTGAAGAGCACTGCTTAACGTACACTGGCAGGGAGCGAATAAAGGAGGCATGCTGGGACACCACAGATGTCAAAGGCACAGTTCTGTCTGCAATCAACTCATCTGTCTGTGTTGAAAACTTTCCGCTTGGACACGACCAAGGACACAGTGAATGGGTGGAAAAATTTGCAGTGCTCAAAAGGGTGGAAGCCAGAGAGCACAATGCTATCGGCATTCAGTGTCTAACCAACAAACTGTTGGTTTCCCTGGACAACGAAGGAAAACCTGCCAATGGAGCAAGCCGACCTTCAAATGGTATTGTCGGTGGAAGCATGAAACTTGTCCTGTCGGCATGTGGTCATGTGCAGCAGGACGCCAGTGGCATGCCATCCCAATTTGCACTTCTACAAAGCCAATCTCTGCATCCGTCAGTTTGGCTTCTCTCAGTGAATACGCATGTTCAATCAAGCCACATGAGACAGGCACACAGTTGTTCCCTACTCCAATGCTGCGCACGCAGGTGTTTCAGTTACAGATCTCCTCCGCAACAGAGCATTGGAGAGCTTAGGGTTGCCACAAGGCTTGTTCTTGTTTTGTCTCTCTGCTAACAAAGGCTTCCATGCACATTGCAGAATTCGATGTCCCTTGCTGCAGATATGTTGGGCAGTCAATAATTATCTTCGTGCTGTTTGTACTTGGCCTATGGGTCAATGGTGTCCCGTAATTCTGGGTTTATGACACAGCACAAGCCATTCTCACGAGTTTCATGGGTGTAGTGTGATTGGGAAGGAAGGTCGTCTAAGCGTGGGCTTCTCCTTCCCTTGAAATTCTAAATCTTGCATCGCACCCTTGCAGAATTTCTTTTGGCAGGCTCATTGTATATAGGGCTTGTGCGTGTGATGCAGATGATATGGACGGTGTTGATGGTACTGCCGACGAGGGTGGAGAAGGCGGCGATGGGGAAGATCACTGTCTGTATGGCAACTTCGACCTGGTAACTCCCAGAAGGAAGGTGTCTCAAGCCTGCTTTTTGAAGTCCAAGATCAGAGAGGCCAAGGTGCGAAAATCTGGCCTTGCAGATTTCCATCGTGACAAGGAATCACAGGAGCACGTTGCAGATGTGTTTCAAATTGCAATCAATTGGAACTTCCAGTGCATCCTGTGCCCTGGCAGGGGGCTTGGTCACTAATTCTCAGTTTTGGGATTCGTCTTTTAAAGGGCTTGGATGGGTCTCGACCAGTGTCTTATTTGCTCTTCTCAGTCATCAATGCTGCTTTGGTACTGTCTCAAGATTGCAAGCGCGAATCTGAGACATTTAATTCGAGGCAAGCTGAGGAAGTCAGAACCTTCGGTGTTTTAGAGTTATTGTCTTATGCAGGGTGATGTGGGTTGCTTGGGGTAGGTGGGGTAGGGTTGGGCGGGGTGGGGTGCGGGGCCACTGTTACTTGGGCATTCTGCCCATTCAGTGTCACCCCATGTTCATGCTTGCTTGGAATCTAATCCGGAGTGGCTGCAGCAGCCTGAATTGCAGTTGCATGCAGAGGCATCTTTAGTGCTTTCATATCCATGTTGAAACAGCTCTTCTTGATAGCGGCACCAGCCATGGGGCTTGACACACAAGTGTGGAAACACAGACGCAGGGCAGATCTGGAGCAAACTCCATGCATCAGAAGTTTGATGTCACCCTCCCATGATTTACCATTTCGAATATCTCCACAGGACACTTGCGCAATTTAGTTTTCGGGTGTTTGGCAGGAAAAGGAATGAACATCACATGAACATGTCAGTAGTTCTGATTACTGTGGTACAGACGAAGAAAACGGCACACACACGCAAACACACAAATGCATACTCTTTTCTGCTGCTTCTTTCTTGCATCCTCTTCTGGACAAGCCATGTGCTGAAATTACCAACTGACGGAGATTGTGAGCATGTTTTTAAGCCATTCATGGTCTGTGCCTTGCCGAACCCAGATGTGAATTTAATGCTGGTGTTCGTGCAGATGCAATTCAATGCCGAATTCCAGAAAGTGGTTGCCAGGAAGGCATCTGACATCGACAAGATCGAAGAGGTGAATGGCCGGATCCGAGACATCAACAAGGATCTCCAAAAGTTGGGAGGTCCAGCACCCCCAGAGCTGACATCTTCGCCGATGTATCTGGACATGGAGGACACAGAGGCATTATTAACGGTCAAAGATGAAGAGGTTACTGTTGAGAGGTACCTCAGCCCAGAGGAGCATGAGCGCCTGGAGGTGAGTGTTGGTATCTCTGATAGGAGAGACTCGTTGAATTTTATTCATTACATTCCTTACTTTTGGTACTTTGAAGTACTTTTTTGTAACCGAATGTGACTATTGGCTGTAATGCAGTGAAGCAACACCAGGTGAAAGAGCAGTGGTATGTCATGTCCTCACAAATGACATATCGCAAGGATTTACTGCAAGATTCAATATTGCCACAAAGGCGATTTATTATATTCAGCGTTGTCACCTAAATAGATAGATGTTGTGACCAAGTGGGTTTGATCCTTCCACTCAAATGCATGCACCTGGCTCTCTTTTGAATCACACAGCTCGGGACGTGCCCCTGAGTGTCGTTAACCTGCCATCCCTGATGCTGGGAATTTCTAATAAGCCATGTTCGTAAAAAACATGCAACGCATTACCTGGCCCCTATTCGTTCACGTACACAGGCATTCCCTTAGCTTTGAAAATACGTCCACCAACAGAACTTGTGCAACAGTGCAAGAGAATTGTTTGTTTCGAGTTCGGTGTCTATTGAACACCAAGATGTGTAGGCGTATCAGAAGCTGGCTGTTGTATCGAAATTTTGACTGAGCATTAGCAGCCGGAGGTGGGGATGTGGTGCAAAAGTGGTGCTTCCAAGGTGAGGGCATTGGTTGCTGGCAGTGGAACTGACCGGTATGTGGTTCTCTCGCGTGCAAAGACTGTCCTTGTCTGAGCAATTGATGATATTCAAAGATCCAAACAACTGTATGGACAACAGATAAGCGTGATTTGGGCCTGTCTATGGCCGTCATCACCTGTGAAGTGGGGGGGCTCGGGTTGGTATACACTCCTGAGTAATGGGCTGTGCAGGTTTCTGTGGGTGCTGATGTCGATTTTCTGCTGATGCATTTTCACAGGAGGAAAGGCGGCAAGAGGAACAGCGACTCCTGGAATCCCAAAAGAACAATATATTCGAGCGCGCTTTGAAACAAATGATGGGCGGCACACTTGAGAAGAAAGGAGAAGGTGACGATGAATTTCTGTTGGTGATCCCTGAATGGATGGCGGGCGATCCTTCAACATTCAGCGAAGATCAGCTTAAAGAGGTGACTATAAAATGACAACACAAGTTGCACTTCAATGGCGAATAACATCTGTCACCTCTAATTTGGAGGAGGCGCTGGACTGCAGCGTGTTGTTAGATGCCGACATGGTGCACAAGGAAGTGACTTATGAGAGGAATGGTGCCTTGGGCAGCCAAGCATGGGAAATCTTGTGAGCACATCATACCTGCTGAACGTTTTCCACACAGTGACTGGGGGAACACAAAGCAGCACTCCGCAATGCAGTGATGTCCCTGCAAATGTGCTCATTCCCGCATCTAATCATGCTGATGCTCCAGATGCAGTTTCGAAGGCAAGGTCCCATCTGTTTTCGTTTATCACAAATGGGCCTGTGATGCTTGAAGGGAACTTAGATACCACATGCTGTCAAGTTTACCGTGGCGTCAGTACAACACCTTCCTTTGCAGCACATGATTGACACATTCTTCTGTGGTATGCAGTACTGTGAGATACAGGCCAAGCAGAAGGCAATTGAGGAAGAAAAGGCTAGAAGGCGGGCTGCACTGGAGGCAGAGCTGCGCACGCTTCGGGCCAGCATAGAGGACATAAAGGACAAGTTTGACAAGCAGATCGCTGAGCTGCACAACCATTACTTGAGCACCGTATGGAACATCTTGGAGATGGAGCTGTACATTGTGAGCCTGCTGACCTCAGTCAACAAGCTGTCAGAGATACAAGAGAGCAGTGATTCTGCTGTGCTGGAGTCTCTGGCTGCACTGAAGGTGTGTTGAGTTGTGTGCATTCGAATGTGATCTGTACAGGCACACAGGAAGTCGGCAGGCTCATGTCTCCGCCACTTCAACAGTCCACATAAGAGCAATTATCCGTACGAAGCATTTTAACTTCTGGATCAAATGGCACCAGTCAATGACATGACTACAATGGTAGCATGTCTCCCAAAAAGAATCTCAGGCTGACCCAAATCTTGCCCTCACAGCCTTACGATCATCCCCAGCACTGTTCTGGGATGGTTTGGATTTCAGTATGCCTTGTTTGAACAGAGGAGAAGTGAAAGCAGCTCAGGAGCACCTGATTTCTGCCAGCAGCATGAATCATGGCATTTTGTGCAATGGCAGCTGAAGATGAGTGGATTCCTTCAATAGCATGTGCTAGGCAGGAGTTGATTGCATTTGACAAGACAAAACCTGCCCTTTGCACCTTGAAGGCATGAAGCATCACAGTTTCAGGCATGAACAGGGCAGGGACAGCCTCACGATTATATGCATAATGGCCCTGAGAATAGCTCCTAGTTTGGGCTGGCTGGCCTTTCCCTTTGGATTTAAAATTTGTGGAGCTTTCACTTTCCCAAAGGAATCAAGCAGCTAAGATTGTACTGATTGTGCTGTGTGATTGCAACTGACTGCGAATTACGTATTTTTGATCCCGCAGGTGTGGCATTTTGAAATGCACGCTTGCCATGCTCCTTTTGTAGACAGCCCGCATGCCGCTTGCCACATAATGATGGTGCAGTCAATGGCTACCAAAACATGTATTGTTGCTGCTGGCATCCAGGAAAAGAAGAGAAAGATTAGCCAAACTCGTCAAGACTTTCGAGCTGTTGTGAACGACCAGAAAGAACGTGTGAATGCACTGTCTCAAGAAGACAGGCAAATGGAGAGGAGTTTCAAGAAGGAATTATCCGATGCACGGGACCACTATGCAAGACTGCACCAGCTCTACAAGTGGAGGGGCGAAAGGTGGGACTGCCAATCAAGACAAAAGCCATGAAGGACCTGGATATGGCAAATGTACTGTATGCAACTGTGGAGATTCAGTCTGCTTGCCCACATTGGTCATTGTCACTCTCTTCCATTGTAGAATCCCAAGCAGTAACCCAGCCCATTTCGTGGTATTTGCTGTGTTCACAAGCATGCGATTTGCCCTGTACCGCATAATAATCAGCCCGTCCGCATCAAGAAATTTATCGTTACTCTTTTTGCTCTGCATTTTTTCAGAGCGTTACTTTTTTTCTGTTGCTCGGCAAAAATTGTAATAAAATTTCTCCACAAAAAGGCCAAGTATTATGTTACTATGCGGAAGGATATTCAAATACGGTAAGCCACTGTTGACAGCTCGTTGGATTTATACACAGACTGCATTTGGGAGCTTGGCATGCTTATTCTGATATGGGTGGTGAACTCCACAGGGCTGCCAGCACATCTGATCGGGACCCAGACGATTTGGATCCCTTCCCTCCAATGCCCACTGCCGATGGCTCACATGGCGTGCCCCACTTGGACTCCTCCATGTGCCCGGAGGGCTTGCTGCCAGTACTTTGGGAGAAGCTGCTGGACCAGAGGGAGGCCCGCATCCAGCATGAGCAACACATGCGGCAGGAGCAGGACTCCTTGAGGAGGATGGAAGCGCAGCTCCAAAAACTTGATGAGAGAGATAGGGAGTTGGAGACAGCCATGGATCAAGGTGTCGCTGAGGTGTGCCGTCTTGCGTATGGAGAACAAGATGTGGGATGGATGTTGGGAGCAGATATTGCCAGCAGCACCTTGCAGAGACGACTGCGTATGTGGTTTGTTTTCATCCCTGTCTTGTATGTTGTCTCTGTTGGGCATCAAGCCTCTCCAATTGAAAAATGTGTGAGCCTCTCCAACTCTACAAAACAGGCTGGTGGCTTGCACCCACAGCTGCAGAATCCGGCAGAATCTCCATTCATGCGTGCAGTCAATCTCCTGCCGTTAAGTGCATCTTGCAAGGATCTATGCTTCGTGCTATTGTCCTCAGGGCATCTCCCAATGGATTTTGATGTCCAATGCGAGTCAGTACAGTGTCAGCAGTGGCAGGTTGTTTAGCACGGATCTTTGTCATGATATAGGTTTTCCTGATCAGTTTGTTGACGACCTTGTCTGCTCACACTTTGTTTGTTTTCATCTCAGCTTAACAAGTTGAAGGAGCAAAGGCTTGCAAACACACTCAACCTGGAGTATCCAATAACACTGAAGCAAGGTCAAGTGGAAGTGCAAGCGGAGGGTGTGTTATCCATTTTGAGTAATTCGGCATTGATTGACAGAAAGACGGTGGAAGGCTTGAATGACATCATCCAAGGGAAGGGTGGCAAGAAAGTTGCGATCCTCACAGCGATCAAGGACTTCAAAAAGGGGATATACCAGCTAGAATGGGAGAATGAGGGGTATGATATGAAGGTGAGTTTGTGTGTCAGTTGAAAGGTTGTGAAAGGTTGTTGAAAGGTTGTTCAAAGGTTGTTGAAAGGTTGTTCAAAGGTTGTTGAAAGGTTGCGGAAAGGTTGTGTCAGTTGAGTGTATTGTGTCAGTTGAAAGGAGCATGTGCAGTTGTTACGGTGCACAGCATGCCCTGGCTTGGGTGTTTGGGAGATTGTAGAAAGTAATTCTTGGCTTGGCTGAAAGACGTACTGCGGCAGTTCCGGACACAGTTCAGCTCACACTGGACAGCTGTCCATATCATCATGTGCAGGAAACTAACAGCATCCTGAGTTCATCCGCTTTGACATCACATTGTTAGGGGTTCGCAGTGGCCAGTGCTGGATGGGCAGTGCTGTGCTTACTAGACATTGCTGTCGTTGAACAAAGTCCAAATCGTGCTTTCCTTTCTCGAGTTACTCTTGGGAGCCCAGCCAGTGACAACCCTAGTCCCAGAGAACACCTATGTCAAGGCTGCAATTATCACGTGTCTGACGAACCTGCCTTGTGCATTGAAGCACGTCGTATTTAAGCCTTGCATCAGTGCATGCACTCGCGGGCATCATGGCCGTGGCATGTTGGTGAGCATGCACGGGAACATGGTCAGTTGTCTGGGGAATGCAAGACCAGCACAATGCGTCGGACTCGAATGTGTCCACGCAACCTGGCTCGCATGGCAACATGCAGTCTTTGTCATCGCGCATGTCTTGACAAGCATCCCAATACAACCGTATTTGCAGGAGCCATGCACCGTCACAGGCTTGCAGTTGGACCTGCTCTCTGTAACGAAGTCGAATGGGCTGTCTGTATTTCACAGGCAGAAGATTTGGTGGAGAGGACGAAAGAATTCCAACTCCTTCGGGTTAGCAAGTCGGTGCACCAGGTAGTGAAGCTGGGAGAGGGCGCCCTGAAGTCTCAGGAGGCGGCCAACTTGGAGCAGCTCATGAAGTTCAATGAGGCGCTCCACAAAAAGAACGTCTCGGAGAGGGCAAAGAGACTGGACGACCTGGAGAAGGAGATAATGGCGAAAGGCATGCAGAACGAGCAGATGAAGGCGGAGATGGCTGGCATTTACGGGCAGCACAGGGAGCACACGCGGCTTCAGCACTTTCTGTCTGGGGCCAAGAAGCCTTCCAAAAGGTTTGCGCAGAAGCAAGTGAAAAGCGTTACCCACACAAGACAGGACAACACTCTTGTGTGTTTGCAAAGGCAACGGCGGCATGTGCATGGCAAAGTATTGTTGCGAGAGAGGGCAGGGAGAATCAGCGCATTTTTTTGGATGCCTTCATTTGATGCTTGACCACGTTCAAGCTGCCGTCTGCCTCTCTCCATCCTGCGACATCAGAAACATTTTGCCAAACTGGCTTTGGCCACAAAGTCAATGCGGGTCTTGACATGGCACCTCCAAAATGCACGTGCAAAGTGGCGGAATCAATATCAGCCTCGGGAGCGCAGAGGGATTCGGCAGGCCAGGTCACAGACAGCACTGTCAAGTCGATTTCCCATGCCACCAAAGAACCCGTCTTGTGGAAACCATAAGTACCGGTTGAGTTGCATGGCTTGCTCCAATTCACACTGCAAATGTGAGGTCCTATTTGTCGATGCACTGGTGCCGCTGCCCTGAGCTGCATTTGCTGCCAATCCGTCTTCAGGCGACTGCACGGCGTTGTGACGGACAAGAAGTTGCGCGACATTGCCAAGGCGCAGCGTGCCGAGATCGAAATCATGACCGCAGAGCTCGACCGCATGCAAATGAGGACATTCCCCTCCTTTGTGGACTCCAAGAACTACTACCCCGACGAACGGCGGTAGAGCCTCGCGGCAACGCGGAAATTTGGTTGCTGCACCAGCGAGAGACCTGGAGGGTTCCATTCTCGACGGCAGGCAACGCGGAAGTCACAAAGGTCTCTCTACATACCTGTGTTGTGTGCGAGGCGAAATTTATTTCAAGGAAGGCTGCTCTGAAGGCAGCGGAAGGGTGGACGGGCGCCCGCCTTCACCACCGCTAGCTGATGCTGTGCTGCTCCGCGTCATGCTTGGAAAACACGGTCACAGTGCCTGCCAGTTGTTCGTAGTCCTGTGGCGTCTTTGATAGCGCATTCGTCCTTCGTGAACAGGGCCTTGACCAACCGGTACTGGCCGCCGAGTCGTGCGCATCGAGCCGTTCAGAGAATCGCTTTGGGAGACGACTCTCAAGCTCACGGCTGCAGGATGTGTCTCCAAGGGGGCTTGGTACGACGCACTTGCTGGTCTCCAAGCCGGAAAGCAGTCGTTGACATAGTGATGGAAATTGGGTTGTGAGTTTTAAATATCGTGAATTGTATATGCGAACGCCTGAAACCCTGCAGCTTCAATGCACGGCGCTGGCATGTGCAAAAGTATTGTGTATTTTCAACTTGAAGTGAAATCCTTGGCGGCACTCGGTTCTTTTCGTTTTGTGCTGTTGACTTGTACCTTTTGTATGTACATGATTTCCAGACATGCCACCCACTAACGGCATGTTATCAATTTTTTAAATTGCGTCCCTTGAATGCCGTCCTGCAAACAGCTGTCGATCTCAAACATCGGTTCAGCGCTTTTCCCTTGATCAAGTCGCTATCAGGGATCTGTGATTGCCACATGAATGTGGTGTACCAGGTTTCTTTGTAAACCCATCGTCTTTGAAACCCAAAAGCAACTTTTGAAGGCCAGGGCCTTTAGCACATGCAGACAGACCGCAACAGCTCCCCCCTGCCACACCACCTCCTTCAAAACGATGCATCAAGCTTGATACAACCAAAGCCAGTATCCCGCTTCTAACGGCTGGAATGCTTTCAGCCAAAATAGGCGTGTACCAAGTACTGAGGTCTGTACTTGGTTGCTCAAATGGGCGTCCTTGCAAGAATCTATTGGGCATGGATGCACAGAATGGGCTTGACCGTGTACAGCAGGCAAGCGTTGATCACCAGCGAAAACGCCAGCTTGGTGGCCCTAAGGCCAGAGCACTGTTTACACGTCGTGTTCATCAAAACTGCTGTGCTGGTCTTAAGGCTTTTCCAGCATGACCAAAATTAATGGCCTGAACCAGGCCTCCATTCACTTTCTCCAAAGTACAGCTCGCTGCAAGGTACCAAGTCACCTCCCATTTCCCATACCCAGTCATGACTGCCTGCACAAGTGCTATCCCTCACATGCACTGCATGCCCAGCCACCACCTCTTTTGAACACACACAGAGTCACCACCCAACACCAAACGACCATTCCTTTGTCATTCTCATCCAAAAAAGCATTCCTGGCCCTGTACTCTTCTCATAATTGCACAGATTACATTTATTCAGTGGACCCACCACCAGGTTGTCTTTAGATCACACATAACTGCAGCACGTTCCAAATGTCCACCCTTAGCACTTCGCGCAAGTCGAGCAGCACTGTTGCCGGGCATGAGATCTAACTGTATGCCTCAGCCACATTCTCCAATGCAGGTGGGCAATTGAGCAAGAACCGACCACATGTTGTCCATTTCTGCTGCTGGATAAGCACTTGGGTAAACTTGCCATTGTTTCGTCTTCCCTTTTGTTGGATAATTCTTAGGGTAAATATGCCTCGCCTCGTTTTAACCTCCTGGCCCCAATCGTCAAAGCGTCCCGGCGCCCTGTCCAGAGGCACAAACTGCTGAGATCACAATAGGAATGAAACCTCGGTAGGACTCAGATGAATGACGCCAATACCCACACTGACCAGCACGTTCATCTTGTTTATCAGAGACTGGAGCAGTGCAGTTGCTTTGCCTCAGATGGATTTTTGGCTGGGCAAATAGCAAGGCAACAGAGGCACGCCGGATCGCGGCCAACGGCCTTGACAACTTGTCTCCTCTCTGCAGCGTTGAGTGCACGCCTTGCCGAATCAATCATTGTCCCAAGCGCCACGCGTGCATCGTGTTCTTTCACTGAGAGTCTCACGGGGCCAAGTTGTCCAGGAGTTTCTGCGATGGTGTCTGTTGGGCGGCAAACGGGCTTGCCCAACATCGCCGCCCGCTGTTCTGACTGTGAGTTCGGTGTGCCTGGGGAGCATCTGCAGGTGCGACAACTGCACCCTCGCCGAAATGCGAGGAGAAACAGCCAAGGCCTGGAAGGGCGCCCCACGGAGCATTTTCGCGTTGTAACCCAGACTGGGCCATCCGCAGCGTCCAGCATTAGATCAGGGCATCATACCCAATGTTCCTATCCGTTGTGATTGTGTCCAAGCCACTGGTGGGCAAGACGCTAGGTCCGCAAGCATTTGTGCATGGTCTCATCTGAAATTAGCGCGGGAAACAGCGCAAAAACAATGGGCCACCCGCGGGAGCTGACCAGCCGCGCCCCTGATCAAAATTGAGGGTCTCCTCCGCCAAAACTCAAAAAGATAAGCCCCCCAGGTACCCATGCATTCTTCTGTACCTCGCCGATCTAGATCCCCGGCATGAACCAAAGACGACCACCAACGTCAGCTTCATGCATCGACAAGGGCTCCCACGGGTCCCGCTCAGGGACGGAGCTGACGGCCCCCGTCTGTCCCGTTTTTGAGGCGCGCGGGCGGCGACCAACCTCAAAGACTCAGCTTCAGGCCGAACGCCACCACGGGCGCCTCGCTGGAGGGCCACGCATTCCGCCTCTGGCGCCTGCTCCGCACGGCGTGCGCCACTCTGGCCGCAGCGGCAGCCACGGCGGCGCCGGCAATAGCGAAGCCCAGGTTCATCGCTCCAGGCAGGGGCGACGGACGACTCCTCCAAACGACCAACCGCCAACCTGGAACACAATCACGCCCGACGATATGATGCCACAGCCCGGGGCGGAGCATGGAGCACGGTGGCACCATGCCGATCGGCATAAAATTACTCCCCGTTCTTGTTTGCTGAGATTCGATTCTTGTTTTCGGACACCCTAAACCCCAACTACTGATCCACGCACCGGGACTGGCCTTGTCAGCGGAATAAGAACCGAATCTCAGCAAACAAGAAGGGGGAGTAATATATTCTCATGCCGATCACGCGGGATCATCACCAGGATCACCAAGAGCTTTACGTAAGGAGGCAAGGCGGTAGCTGTTGGCTTCCTGTCTCGTTTGAGCAGAGTGGTGTCCATGATTTGTTCGTTGAATTCTGGTGCGCGACACAAGCACAATCCAGCACCCGTCAACTCCTAACTACGAGAGGTGTTTGTCGCTGGGAAGGCTTTGGAAGAAGTGTGTTCGCCAATTGGAGAACGGGATTGCCACAATGCACCATGGCAATGGCAGTGGAAATGAACCTTGACAGTGCTCAAGCTTTTGGTTGAAGGGATCCTCTTAAGAGGGAAGCAGGAAGCTGCCTGCTCGACTCACATGATGGACAAATCCATTACTTTTTCCTTCTGTTGTGGCTCTCGGCGTCCCCGCCACAAGGCAATGACCAGAGAGTGTGGCAAACTGTTGAGCACATTGCGTTTGGTAGCTTTCTGTGGATTGAAACAATGAACGGCCCTGGCACCGCCGAGCAGCAAGCCCACCATCACTCATTCTCTCCTGTCCAGGAGCAACTCAGAGCAACGCTCACTGAGCGCTCAGTCCTGATAGGACGGCAGACCGCATTGGCACTATGCAGCTGGACGCCAGCGTGTCGCATGTATGGCACCCCAATTTTGTGGTGCTGCTTTCATTGCCTTCATTGATATCGAAAGTGCCATGTAAAATCACAAGGGATTCTATGTTTGAACTAGAGTTACTGCTTGTAACAGAAGCATAATGATCTCGTGGGATTCGCTGAAGTTTGTGAGGGAGGGGTGCCAAATCTCAACAGCACTCGAATCATCGTCTAATTGGCACCACGCATAAAGTTTACGGCGTTTGGGAAAGCCAGTCAGCCTCCCCCCAACAAAACGAGGTGACATCCTATTATCACTGAGAGACCGATGGGAACATTACAGCCACCTCTGGCGCCACAGTCGACGCGTTGCTACAATGTCACGCCCCGATATGAAGAAGATGGTGATTACTAATCCCTAGGGTTCCACTCTCAGGGCAACCAAGTTCTTTTGTTCCTTTCCTAGCGAGAGTCTCTGGTCCAGGAGAAGGTAATGGTAATCTCAATGACCTATTTGTGCAGCCGAAATTAGGGCGCCTCCTGATGAGGCCCGCACCGTCTTCCGGATAACGTACACCCCAAAATTACACCCCACACACGCCGCACTAAATCCTCCAACTTCTGCATATACCACATCGCTGGCCATGCCCTAGTACTTCACGCGCGCCCCCTAACCTGTACTGCATCCCGTCAGGGCGACTGCGTGCAGACTCAAGAGCGTTCCCTTATCTGGTCTTCCACGCCCAGGGGCGCCCTCGCCAATTCAGACTCGAGCTGTTGAACTGCCCTGCGAAACGGTAGAAACAGCGCGAGTAGTGTTGAAGCCCACAGGCTGTGAGGAATTGGCGGTCATCGAATTTGGGGGATCCATCAAAAAACTGAGAGAAGATGCGGGGTTGCAATTTATCCTGGGAATATTGGCGGTGCTTCTGCACACAAAGCTTCAAATACAGACGTGCTTTTGAAGAATCAAATCCGACGCTTCAAGCTCCAAAACAAAGCTAACCTCCAACACTTGCGCAGTGAAAGAAAGCGCGCAGTGCATTGTTCAATTCCAAGTGGGTGGCTGTGTCTGGTAAAATATTGAGGCAGCCAACCGATCCACTATATATATGGCCAATTGGTCGCCATTCTCGACCGAATCGGTTGGCAAGGAGGCTCCCTTGCACTAGTAAGAAGCAAGCCAAAATGCACGGGTTTGAAAATCGCGTGCCGTATAACACGACTTAAAATCGTGTCAAATCGTGTATTTATCGTACAAAAATGGGCCCAAACCGTGTAGTAACGATTGAGCGAGTTCGCGTGGTTTTTACACTATTTTCACAAGGTTCGATACCGAGTATTTTTGCCGACTTTCTATTTGCGTTGGAACTCGGCGTTGCATCGACAATTGCAACAATCTCAGAGCTGAGGGCACCTCCCAAAGTGCATCGCCGCAGTCTTGCTGAACAGTGGGCACCATCAATGGACAAGAGCATTTCACGACGTTATCTCCCTGGCGGTGCGCCCACCTCCTAGCAGAGTCCCAGTGTCCGGATGGTCGCTGGTCAGAACCGCGATGGCTCCCATTCCTATGAATTGACCTCGGAGGCGAGCTCTGTCCAGCGTCAAGACGTGCTCATTTCAAACAGTCTCCAAAAGAACTTAATCCCGACATAATCTAAAAGCATTGAACACAAAGTAGAAGAATGGTATGTGAGGACCGGGTCGAGTCGTATCAGTAGCAATTAAGAACGGAAGTCAGGTGCTAATAAATCTTGGGGCAATTTGGCCAGATGTGCGCAGGAATATCGTGCAGGTTGATGGCCCAAAATCTGGAAGTTTCCCAAGGAGACAAACGTATTGTACATGCCACCACCTGTGAGCTTCGCGGAGTTAAGTTCCGTGTGGCCATTCTATTTTTCATTTGTTCCATTATCTTGTGTTTCTTGTGAGTGCAGCTTCACTGGGTAATCAGTACCCAGATAAGCATGCGCTGCTGTTTGCGTTCTCTACATGTGCGACAACAGCCCATATTTGCTGTTGCAATGTCAGCCTCGGAGATATCTTCAATGTAGGCAGGTACAATGTATTTAGGAAATCTCGTGTAAGACAAAAATGTTACATGTGTCCGCAGTCTTCAAATGTTCTTTTCCCATCAATCTCTTCCAGGTTTGGTTTTTGCGTTTATGTTTACGTTTTTGCATTTATGCTTTGCATACAATAAAGTAAATTTGCAAAAGAAGCCATTTTTGTGGCTGCATTTGCGTACTTGTACGGCTCGTTGGGACACCCAGGCTACATGACGACGTTGCGCGCAATGATCCGTCCTCTATACCCTCAAGCGCCCGCGCTACAGCATCCACCCGGCCTTCGGTAAGGGCAGCGATGCGATTAACAAAAGTTCGTTTCCGCCCAATCCAATGTCTCTGTCTGCCACTCCCTGTATTATATATGTCTATGTATTTCTTTATGTGAGCGGGACTGCATTTACGTACTTTTACGGCTATTTACGTGTAAAGCGTAAAACTACTTCCACGCGCAAAATCCGCAACACAATCAGTTTTCATGTAAACACCAAGCCTGTTGTCTATCTCCGCGGAATTAATCCACAGGATGAAGACTGCAAGCGCAATCCCAATATGGGCAAGACCTTTTGCCCCGAATGGATGCATAATCGAAGAACTAATTCGCAAACGCTGCACTCACCTCGCCTGAGAATTGCCAGCAGATTAGGGCTTCCCCAGCCACTTCTTTACATTAGCAAAGTCAAACTTTTTTCGAAAACATAATCCAAAGCGTAAGCTTTGCACACATTTGATAACATGTTGTTTGGCCCTTTTTTCCTAGTGTTAGGCACTGCAAGCCCTAATTTGGAGCCACCGTGGAGTCTCCGAAGCATGTACTGGCGTCTCGCAAATTTGGTAGCCCGGAGGGCTATGTTTGGATGGCCAAACAACACTGCATACACTTGCGCACACATCCGCAGCGCTTGGGTGCGGATACGTACACCGGCAGCGGCAGCTGCTGAGCTCCAGCGACCTCACAGTGTGATAGCGTACTTTTTGTGGTACAGGCTCTGATGGGCAACCCACCTGTTGCGAAGCCATTCTGGCAGTGCTCCTGAGCCTGGCTTCTGCGCGCTGAACTTCGTGCTCGAGTCTGTCCACCAATTCGCTGGCTATCTCCGCATTCCAAACCGCGTCGCGGTTTCCGCTCGCGCATGAGCTGCTGCCTCTTCCTTGAGAACCTGGACCGGACAGTCATGCACAAAGCGGCAAAGCGGGTGAAAACTGGACTGGCGCGCAGTCACGGCATTCAAGCAAGCTATTTTAACCACGCAATTTGTGGAGCGTGCACGCGCCATCAATGTCCAATTAATAAAATATAATATTTGATTCACATTCAAATAATTTGAATTCGAATAGCTCAAATAATTTGAATTGCCCCTGAAGTGCTCTGGATCAATCTGATCTTGATGCGATGCTTCTCTGGCAGGTCTCTACACGCCTCAAAGCGACCGTAGGACTGTCGAAACCACATTCTGCCTGAGCAAAGGATGTTGAGTTTGATATTTGGATGTTCTTTCAGCGACGCGTTGACTATGCCGAAATGTCTGATCCTACTCTTTCCTGCTCATTTGTGGGTTCCTTAGCTGGGTTTCGCCACTTCAATTTGCCAACGTATACACTCAGTAATATGCTTCGAAGTAGGAGCATAGGTCATCAGCTTCGTCATGGCGCCGTGACCTTAGTTGTTGAAAGTCATTTTAAGAAAGCTCGATTGGTTGATTGATCAGCTTCGTCATCAGCTTCGAACGCGGAAACCTAAGAAACGTTGATGAAGGTGGCGGAACCTGAGAGGATGGAGTCCAGATCTCCAATGGCTTTAGCCACCTCATCCCCAGGGACACGCGCGGCGCAAGAGGAGGGGGCGGTCGCAGGCTCCAGCTCAAGGAGATCTTTCACTTCAGCGGGGCTGAGCTCGACGATCCCGGCGATGGCATCTGCTGTCTCACTAGAAATGGATCCAGTCCTGTCAATGCACGTGCAGAAGAATCGGAACTTGGCCAAGTACATTGGGGACGTGGGCAGGTGACGGCCATTGCCGGTAACCTTGCCTGCATTGCCAGTCCCGAAAATGGCATGTACGAAATTTCGATGTTTCGGTGAATGAGGATGGTATTGGTGAACGACTGGGGGTCGCTTTGCAGCGGCCATCTACGTCGATGCACTGCCAATCGTTGCTGTGGAGCATCAACAGCCTTCCGGTATTGACATCTTCGGTGCCATTGCCGCTAACATGTCTTGTATTTTGACGCTTCATTACCTCCAAGTGCATCAAAGCCACTTCCAGCGTTGGTCACAAGGTGTTGGCACAGAGCAATTTTCGGCAATGCATCCTGAAACTAGACGATGTAATGTGGATCAATGTTGCGTTAATAGCGCCCTTATGTTCTGATGGCATTCACTAATAAAAAAAAATGGTGCAGAATGGCACTCTGAACTTCTTGGGTGTTATGGACTCAAAACGGGCGTAAATTCTGCCTTGCAACCAGAAAGAAACCAGGTCAATTGCTGAAATTTAACCCGCGGAGCAACCCGGGAGAACATTGAACTGCCACCTCTACCTTCCCAGACGTTTTCTCTTATCCCTAGCCGCAGCGTCGGCGCATGATGCCATTGACGTGCAGCATTGGACGACCAGAATCGAGACTGCCCGCAAGGCCGTGAGCAGATCGTTGGCCGCCTTGTTTGACCGGGATATTTCCTCATCTTTTCTTCGGCAGTGATCGTCGGCTTGGGCCGACAGCCTTTGAAGCGTTTGGCGCTCATTCTGGAGCTGCAGCTTGACCTGCATACGTGTTTTTGCAATGAATTGATTGATTCATCTGAATGATTTTTGACACGCCTTGCTAGACACGTTCTGCACGTTCGATTTCGTGCGGCAAATCATGATTCTCCACGTATCGACGAATAGATTCATGTGCATTAGGAAGCTTACCATATCGAGAAGAGTTTTGAGCTGCTTCTTCTTAATACGACATCTCTGATGAGGGGGGAGCGTGTCAAGGAAAAGCATTGCGTCATGGCGCAATGGCTACTTGCTCTCGGCCACTGATTCAGAATGCTAACATTACCTGCAGGATCGAGATCCAATGTGATTTTGTACAGTAATGAACCCAAATAAAAAACACACAATTCACCAAGTGCAGCGCAGATCATCCAAGTGGCTCAATTCTACAATCCGGGAAAGACTGGAACTTGGGCATCACTTGATTACTCATCAATGAGCACATAGTTTCATATCGAGATGTACATGGTGCAATGCACCATCTGTCCACACCACAATGTGAAACTCAGAGTGATGCCATCACCTGGTCCAGCTCCTCACGACATCCAGACAATTCCGTGGTTTTCTTGCGCAGCTCCTGCTTCATGTGCTGCGCAGACTTCAGGTGCCTCTCCAGATCATCACCCTTCAATGACGTCTGCGCAGTCTCGAAGGTTAGCTCATCCAGTTTGCCCCGCAAACTGTTTATAAGAGCATCTTTCCTGTTCAATGCCGCCTGAAGCTGCTTTGCGCGTCCCTCCGGTGTCTGGTGTGCGTCGTGGACCGCCGCATCTTTGTGCATCCCTAATGCATTTTGGGACTCCTCGAGTTTTCTCTTCAGCTCCCTGTTAGGAAAAAACGCATTACGAAAAACACTCATGTGCACAGACTGCCGCAGCATTTCCGATTTCAAAAACAAAATGCGCTTGTTGGGATGGTGACACATTGAGCAATATATTGAACCCATTTCACAAGCGTATTTATTTAGGCAATTGCATTTAAATAACAGTTATGGTGCCCACCAAACATCAATAAGAATTAATTGGTGGAGTAATGGTGTCGCTCTCTTTCAATGCGTCTCTCACTGATCCCGGCACGACATTAGATTATATAGCAGACTGAAATTTAGCATTCAAGTTGAAAGTGCCGCGGTGCAGCCTCCTTCAGACAGGGTACCAACCTGATCACCGTGTCTTTTCGGACAATGCAGTTTTTGGCATTCTGCCATTTAGACACCACCGATGCCTTCTCAGATCGCTCTGCCTCCATTTCTGCTGCCAGAGCAGTGGTATTGTTCTCTTCATCGAGCTTCTGTTGCATGAGCTGCATCGCCCTAGCTCGGCGGGCGCTATCAGCTTTCGCAGTTTTCAATGTCTCCTGACATCTGTGAAGTTCATCCTTCAACAGATCACACTCCTCCTGCAAGAGCACCGTCACAAGGTGGCCACCCTTGCTTCAGGACATTCCGAGGTTGCAATTGTTCATGGATGCGTTGGACTGGCCAAAACTGAAACCAGGATTCGGCCATTAAAGCAATATTGAACTCATTTTCAATGCGACTCATGTTGATGCTACACGATTCTAAGTAGTCTATCATGAATGAAACGCGGAAGTGATTTGTACAAGTGCCACCATAATTTGCACATTTCGGCACAGCGAAACGCCGTTTATGGGGGTGCATACTGGCAGTGCAAACCTAACATGGTAAACTTGCGATGGTGCATTATTTAAGAATTCGTTAGGGACGAGTGGGCTATCTTCTAGAAGTGCGCAATAACATCACCGACTCGCCATTTCTTAAAATTGAAGGCCATCAACAATGCGCGAGAACGCCATTCGTGCAATTAAAGACTAGGAGTTTAATATTCCTTAATAATCAGTTGTTCAAATACAAAAAACCTCGCATACTGGGGGCAGCTGAATTAGATTTTGAGGAAGCTAATATAATTGGCACCTGATTCCTTCAGGCGCGTAACACAACAACATAGGATGTGAAGACAAAATTTTGCCGCACGCGGAATGTGAAGCCCAAGCGGGATGCACCCAACACCGGCATTTCTATCACGCAATTTTATCCTTCACCGATATGCGTACAACTCATTCTGGTCACTAGGAAAAAAATAGCCAACTAACGCGTGCTCAAACGTGTACAAAATTCACGGGTTTGTGTTATTTTTGTGTTCTTAGCGTGCCGAACTTTGATGAAATGTGTTTTATGTGTGTTCGAAAAAGTTTTATTTGGTCCTTTTCTTCTAATTGATGTATTAGGTTAGCTGCACCCAAATATAGGATGCAGTGGCTCCAACACCTTCAGAGCAACTCTGTCCACCGCCGCCGAGGAATTCAATGAGACCGTTTCCCTCAGACTCCTGATTTCTTTTTGGCTGCACTTCAGCCGCCCGTGCAGCATGTCAACCTCCTGGTGCAGGGCCTCCAGCTCTGCTTGAGCATTTTCCTTTTCTAGGCGCTCGAACTCTGCTTCTCGTAGAGCTGCAGCAATGCCGTCGCATTCTCGCGCTGCCTGAATCTCGCCCGCCGCGCCCATGGCAGCTGGAAAAACAAATGCATGTGCCCATATTTGTTGCATTCACCATTTGCTTCTGTTCGCCTTCGTCTATGTTTTTCTTTTTTTGCTAGTGTGGATCCTCGAAGGAGGATGAGTTCATGCAGCGGACAGAATTGACAATCGATTGGCGAAAATATGTAAAATTTTTGAGCAGATAAGTCAAGGTGCTTTAGGGTTATCGCTATTTTTGCATGTGTTTTTGATCTTATATTCACATCAAATGCTTTTCCCTCCCCGCGACAGTGGACGCGACTTCATACATACACATCACATTGCGTTATGCGGAATAACTCCCAGAATTTTTTGCGTCTAGTAGGTTTTCCATTCTTCGACATACTGGGATTTTCAAATATGCTACGTAACTGGATGTTTCAGCTGCAGTTTGGATCACGGTATTTTCAAGCAGCCCTGCATGCAGGAAATCAAAACTAATTATATGGTGCCTATGTTGTCGACATATACAAAGATTTAGTATATCCTGGGGAAGCCTGTACGTTCAATGTGAATTCTGCGTCGCGAACATGCGCTTAATATTCCAAAACGCATTTCAGAGTAAAGCGAGAATGGCTACGTGCATATGTGATCCAAGATTGACTCATTGCCAGTCCAGAATAAGCAGTGTCCCGTTTTCATCGACTATTCTCACGGCGGCCCATCTCAACGGTTCGAAATTGACACCAGATCATGTGATGGCTCCGTGGATAATCGCCACACCTGATGAGGCGTCGCCCCCCTCTTCAAGATCAGTAAGTTCCTTTTCTTCCGATACAGATGGTAATGTACTTGGAATGACGTGCGAATTCCCGAGTTTCAGATTCCTGGGAATCTTAGTGCGTCGAGACCCTCTGAGGGCTCTTCCTCCCCTGATCCTGCGAGCGTCTTGCGCCGTTGGTTAATCGCAAAGGAAAAAAAAGCAGAGACTTGTTGTCCTTGCTTGAATGAAGGACGTAAATAGATGGGAAGAATCAGCTGTCGCAACTTTTGCACAGGCACTACCTGCGCTGGCACTTCATATCAGGCTACTGGCCAGATTGTTTTAACGCCTCATTCCATGGTAGATGGATTAGATGGAAGTAATAGACATTTAAATGTGGAGAGGAATCTGTAGCAGTTATATATTGCTTCCAAGGGCCAGCTAGTGGGCTGAATTTCTTGAAGTCGGTTTTTCTTACAGTTTTTCGGATGTATGAAAAGGCTGCATTCCTAAAATCAGCAATTTGGAGAATTTGATGCCATCGATTGCCCAAGATGCTTTGCATGCATCAGGTTTTTGTTGACGGCGTAAAGCCTTTCCATTCACGGCCATTTACCCGAACAAACTGTTGTTTTGTTTTAACCCGTAAATAGCCGTGAAAATGGATAAAAAGAGGCAGTGCGTACATAAAGACAGAACTTAAGACTCAGCGAGTCACTGAAGTGGCATCCACACGCGCTGGAGTGGGCGCAAAGTAGCCTTTTGTTCGATGGAGACCTTAGCCCTTGCCGAGGCCGAGGTGGTGCTGGCGGTCCTTGGAAAGCCAGAGTCCATAGGTGGGACATATGATGCAAGCTGGCTGTGTCGGCGAGCCGTAAAATGCGCAAATTTGGCCGCGAAATTGGCCATTTATCTATTTTCGCGCTTTCACGTGTAAAATCGCAAATGCGCAAATGGGGCCGTAAATGTAAATAACAAGCCTAACGTGCATTGTTTCCCTGTACAAGTCGGAGAAGATTTCGGGAATTTCCTTATATTTGGGTTCTATTCCGCAATCGCGCACTGGCGATTACCTGAATATAACTTTTACGAGTGTGTCAAAATTCCATTCACCACTGAATTGCAAGGTGTCTCGCAAGGATTTTGCGCCAGTACACAATACAACTGTCCTTAACAGGCACATATGCGGAGCCGCTACAGCATTGCGCATGAGAAATGCGTGCCGCGGTCGCGAACAGAACACTCGCCTTTTTCTTGAAGCCGACAACGGCATGCCCACTTCCGCGCCGTAGGCCCTCTTCACTCGGTCCTCCAGGGCCTTGATCTCTTCAATTTTCTTCTTTTGATAGTCTCTGAATTCCTTTCGCGTTCTTTCCAGCTCGGACTCGCACTGTTCCCTGGAAGCCCCTACTTCAGCGATTTTCTGAGCAGCCTGAGATTCCACCATCGCAGCCCTGTGCCAAGCGATCAAGCGGCTAAAAACAACGTTGCAACAGTACTCATGCCATAACGAGATACGTGTGAATTCAGAACGGGGAGATAATCACTCCCCCCAATCGGTGTCACCATCTCCGCAGCTGGAATTTCGGAGTGCCCATGTTTGGTTTTACGCCGTAAGCACAGAACATATTTACGTTTTATGCGCAAAAATACTTAAAATTACGTAAATACAACGTGAAACTGCCCGTGTATTTTGTGCCTGAACTGCGTGGTCAGCCCGTGGCCGACTGTCCCCTGCGCTCGCCATGGGCCGCAAGGGAGTGTATTGACCGTCCTCCAAGCATCCTTAGGACGTGAGAGGATTGCAAGCCAACTGCGCATATTGCCAGCAAGTCGCGAAGGGCAGTGAGGGGTGACGATGCTGCCATCTAGCTGGCATCTAGTGGCAAAACGCACTGGCGAAGTGCCTCGGGAGGTCAGGGAGGAGTGTGCACGCGAACATGCATGGTGCGTAAGAAGAAACACGAAGGCAAGGGGCGCTTCAGGGCCGGAAGCCTGTTCAGCACCAAGGCGCAGCCTGTGCTCGCAGAGCCGCTCATGGGTGGCACCAGTTCCGCGCCAGCCACCAGTCGCCAACAAGCCGTGGGCCTGGTGGCAGGCACCGCTTGAGGCCCAATCGTGGATGCAATGGAAATTGTGGGGAAGTTGTTGACCAGGCACCGGCCATGGCGTTCTATGGCTGCAACATACCTTGGAGCGCTGTTGCGAGTGCTGCAGCTGTGTTGGGGGTGCAGGAGATGTGGTGGAAGACTTGTAACTGTACGCAACTTTCATCACGTAATTTGGTTGTCCCAACGAGACGTTAAAAACACAAAAACAGCCCCTTCGCAAATTTGTGTTTTGTTGCGTAAAAGCGTAAGCGCAGGCGCAAAAACTAAGCCTGGGAGTGCCCGTTGCACGAAGGAGCATGAGGCTCATATCTTTACAAGATGTGTGATGTGAGGGCATTAAAGGCAATTATGCGATTTTCTTATTGATAATTTTGGCAAATGTGTTGGCTTTTCTCTTCGCTTCGCTATCACCGAATCGATTGGAGTGAACGGATCACTGCAGATGTGACCTGCGTAATTTAAAAGTAGACATTCATTGACTGAGGAATGGGCTATCATGAAGAACGGCTGATCGCATTTCATCAGAACCAATTTGCAATGCATTATAACATGCACTCTCACGTTTCCAAATCGGAATATTCTGATTTTCGTAAAATCGGTCAGTTGCCAACTTCAGATGTTCAGTTTGCTCCTGTGCCGTAAAAAGCGTGATTTCATTTTCGCATTTCACATTCCGTGCCAGTGTGAGGTCTTGACGAACATCAGTTTTCATACAAATATTTCATCACCATTCATCGAATTGATCGACAAACATCAATTTTCCTCGAAACGGACCGCGAGCAGCAGAGAAAATTTCCCTGTCATTTGGTGCACGGAACTTCTGGAGCCAACCTTTCCATTGCAGCTTCCGCCCCTCGCTTCTCTCCTTCCGCATACGCCAAGGATGCCTGCCTCTTGGCCTCGTCCCAGAGGGCCTGCTTCTCAGCTTCCATCCGCAGCTCCACTTCCCTCGTGCTGGAAACGTGGCGCTCAACCAGATGCTGCCACATCGATTGCGCAAATTTAACAAATATAAATTTACACTCATTACTAAAATTATAATAAAGATATATTTACTATTAAATAATGGTCGAAGGCTTGTCTCCCTCAAGAAACAATGCAGACTGGTAGCAACTCCATCAGCTTTGAGGCATCGGCATCTCAAGCATCTACAGACCTAGCCAACCTTTCAAGTGGCGCACTTGTGAGATGTGCCTCATACCCATCATGCAGCGAATTGCTGCAATGCAATTAGTAGTATTACTATGCAGTGTCTTACCAAAACAACACTGGGTGTGAATTTGGTAAGACACTACATAACACCAGTGGCGCTGCCACTAAGAAGCACTGGGTAGCGAGCCTCGCGCCCGTAGGAGTATTCTGCATGGACACACTGCATCTATGCATACGCGACATGTACTGACTTCTTCACCTGTCGTTCTTCGTCGCTATACTTTTGTAGATCCTCCATTCTTTGAAGCGTCATCTGTACTTCCCTTTCGGTGGCCACTATTTTTTCCACGCTCATGTCCAATTCTTGGCGAAGGGTCTCGATTTGGTGCCTCATCGAGGCCTCTTGCTGCTTGAATTGTTCGCGCATTTCCTGTATGGCTCCCTGCCGTGTGCGAAGACAATAAGCGCAAAAGAGTGGACTTGAGTTAACGAACGATAGCATGTTTTGATCCAAAAATGCTGTTTGCCAATCAACAGAAGCATTGCGTTTCGCCACGTACTAGGTTGCTTACGTCGTACACCGTCCTCAGCGGAGATACAATCCACGCGCTCATAGGCGGAACGAACATGGGCCAAACATGTGGTGAATTTGATTGACAAGGTAGGGGAATTTAGGATGCCGAAATGCCTGGGTGTTGGCTGTGCCATTGGATCACCTCACGTACCCTGCTCTTTAGGGCTTGAATTCTTCCCTTGCTATTTACCAGATATGAGCTATATCATTAGCTGGTGGATTTATCGGACACGAGTGGTATCATTTACGGTTGGTTTCATTAGCTTTAATGGAGATTCATATATCTATACTTGAGGTAAAGTACTATAAAGTTCTATAAAGCGTGGCCGAATTCAAATCTGCCCAAATGGAGGCCAAAACGTGCGAGTCAGAAAAACTTGACCAAAGCAACTTCGATGTGGCATATCAAGTGCTATCTGCAGAGCCTTCGAAAAGTGGCAAACAGAGGCGGCATTCTCGCGATATGTGATGAGGAGCTCATTACCTCTGATCAGAGGTGGTTTTCATTTTGCCGCGACCTGGGGGGTGGCATGGTGAGCTCCTTTTGCTCTTCAAAGTAACAACTTGAGCCACCACTAGGAGAGAGCTATGATTCGGTGCTTGTTCTGCCTAAAGATGCGGTCCAATCCCGACCAGAATCCACGCGGAAACGTACTGAAGCTCAGTACAACATTTGGGTGTCAACAAGAACTGCATGAAGGTTGTGCCCAAAGGCCAAGAGGCACCTCGATCGGTCCAAGAGCATGTACCTAGGAGACGTGTGTAGAACGACGGCCTAAATTGATGCAAACACCGCCAAACGGTGAAAACATAATTTGGATAACATGATTCATCATACTGGAAAAGGCGATGCACAAAAGTATGATGGCGATGGTATCAAAACTCTTGAAATGTGTAGTAGTGGCCATTTGTTGTCTACAGCAAAGTTCCTCATGAATTTGGGGGGAATGGGTTAGAACCTACTAGAATAAGGCCAACACAACAATGCGTGGAATAGAGGTCCTGAATGCAATTGGACAGGGGCATTTCTGCTGAGGCCGCGAATGCCGTGTTTTATGGCGATGACCAACGTGGCTAGTAGTATATCAAAAACATGTTTCGGTACTTCAGATGGCGGCGAGGGCACTACTAGGACTCATGTTTCTTGCAATGTTCTCTTCATGTGCATAATTTTTGTTGTAAGCGATATACAGATAGATATGGATAGTTTATCCAACCGCAATATGCTGCATCTGCAGGCCTATAGAATACGCGAGACATACGAAAACGATGATGCAAAGGTGGAGCGAAGACGCCAGAAACTGCACACGATCACAGATTACGGCATCCCCAGGAAAATACGTGCAGATATGGAGCATTCCCTAGCATAGTGCAGATGGCATTTAGGCCTCCACCGCTTGGCACGCTACAGCCATGCATGACACATAACATGGCCACGTGCAACTACATGAATTGCCACCTTGTATCTCGACGCCCGAGAGAAGGTCTCCCACGCCTGCACTGCGACTTTGTTGGTGCGTTCGGACACCGAATCTGCCTGAAGCGCATCGCCCCTTTGATAGGAAGAGAGGCGGGACACCGTTGCGGCCAGCTCCTCAACGCGTGAAAGCAATTCTGCGTTTGCATGCAATTGCCGTCAACACGCCGCACAGCGAACTGATTGGAAAAAGTGTCTTTTCGGCGTTCATTTCAATCACTCTACCAGCGCATATGCGTGAAATGCACCATCATCAAGAGGCAGGCGGAGGAAATGCGAAATCGACTTCGCACGTGATTGGCAGCTCTTTGGGAAATGCTTTCGAAGGCGGAAAATATGCCCGTCGCTTAATGAGACTGCACAATATCGCCCGCGATTCTGATTACCTGCGTCATCTCTAAGCTGTGGCAGCTTTGCCAATGAACTGTCGATGCGATCCGCTGAGGACCTCTCAATCTCGTCACAACGTCGCACCGCCTCCGAGACCAGCAACTCCAGCTTGGCGTAATCCTGCCATGGATTTGCAATGCGGATTGATGTCTATATAATGTCTACATTACACATCCATCAGTATGTATGTATACATAATCATCTGTATACAGACATACAGAATGCCAGCAAAGTTTCGAAGCTGGGTGGGTAACGGTAGGGCTATTCCTTGTCAAATGGAAGGCACCGCCATACTGGCAGAAATGGACAGATGATGCCCAGATCAAATGGTGAGATAGATTTCACTCACTGGTAGAAAAGTCCATGTTTGCAATGCTAGCTGCGATGCCATTTTGACACAAATTGATGCCGTCACACTGAGTGCGATGGCAAAAAAAGAGCTGTGATGACATCAATTTGTGTCAAAATGGCATCGCAACTAGCATCGCAAACAGGCTGTTTCCTACTGGTGACTAAAACGTATTGTGCCTCGCCAATATATCGTGCATCGAAACAGGGGAACGTTTTTG